ATGGAACAACAAAATACCTTGAATAGCCAAAGCAATCCTGAGCAAAAAATAAAACTGGAAGCATTATACTACCTGACTTCAAACTATTCTACAAAGCTATAGTAACCAAAACAGCATGGTACTGGAATAAAAACACACTCAGACCAACAGAACAGAATAGAGAACCCGGAAATCAACCCATGTACTTTTAGCCAACGGGTCTTTGACAAAGGCAACAAAAACATACATTGGAGAAAAGACTGTCTCTTCAATAAATGGTGCTGGGAAAACTGGATATCCATTTGTAAAAGAATGAAACCAGACCCATACATCTTGCCATATACCAATATCAACTCAAGTTGGATTAAAGACTTAGGTATAAGACCTGAAACTATAAAACTCCTAGAAGAAAACATAGAGGAAGCACTTTGGGATACAGTATTTAGGGGAAATACTGGATGAATAAGACCCTAAAAGCACAGGCAACAAAAGAAAAAAGAAACAAATGGGATTATTTCAAACTAAAAAGCTTCTGCACTGTAAAAGTAACAATCAAAAGTGAAAAGACAATTTACAGAATGGGAGAAAATATATGCGAACTATACATCCAACACAGGACTAATATCCAGAATATATAAGGAACTTAAACAACTTAAGAGATATAAGGAGTTTGAGATATAAGAAGTTGAAAAAAAAAAACAATCCAGTTAAAAAATGGGCAAAGGAGCTGAATAGACATTTCTCAAAGGAAGACATACAAATGGCCAACAGTTGCATGAAAAAATACTCAACATCATCAATCATCAGGGAAATGTAAATCAAAACCACATTGTGATGTGACCTCACCGAGTTAGATTGGCTATTATTAAAAAGACAGAGAATAACAAATGCTGGTGAGGATGTGGAGAAAAGGGAATCCATCTACACTGTTGGTGTGACTGTAAATTAGTGTAGCCATTATGGACAACAGTATGGAGGTTTCTCAATCTACAGATAGAACTACCACATGGTCCAGCAGTCCCACTTCTGGGTATATACCTAAAGGAATGGAAATCATCATGTCTAAGGAATACCTGTAATTCCATATTCATTGCAGCTCTATTTATAATAGCTAAGATATGGAACCAACTTAAATGTCCATTGATGGATGACTGAATAAGGAAAATGTGGTATACATACACAGTGGGAATACCACTCAGCCATAAAAAAGAATGAAATTCTGCCATTAGCAGCAACAGGAGCTTGGAGATTATGTTAAGTGAAATAAGCTAGGCAGAGGAAGAGAAATACTGCATGACCTGACTTATTTAAATGAGAGATAAGAAAGAAAGAAAGAATGAAAGAAAAAATAAATGAACAAACAACAATAACACCGTGAACTTTCAGAAGGAAAGAACAGAACTATAGTTACTAGAGATGAGAAATGGGGAGGGAGAGAGAGGTTAGGAAGAAATTGCATAATGGACACAAATTTGTAATGATAAACAAAAAGTTCATGGAAAAATAGAACTAAAAGAAAATGTGAATATTTCCATGAACTATTTTAAGTCCCCTCATATATGTCATGATTCAGGTGGTGCTCAACACTAGAGCTATTTTCCTTGAGAAACTGAAAGTGTTATTACTAAGACTAGGAAAAAAAAAAAAAAAAACTCCCAAAAAACTGCTGTCACTACAGGGCAGATGCTGGGAGACCTCCTAAATTGTAGGCATCCAGCCATCAAAGTCTAAAGAAATTAATGGAGTTCCATTTTAAACCAGTTTACTTCAGAACTCTGAGTACATAATATCTGGGGGAATTTTTCCTAAGAAATGAGAGAAGGAAGTGGTGAAAATTGCTTTAGAAAGAATAGAATACTTAGACAAAAATATTTAGAGTTTGGTACAGCTGGTAAATCAGAATCTAAATCATGTGTACTTCCTTTGGGGGAGGAGATTTGAAGAGGAGGAAGATAAAGAGGATATGAATGTAGGGTAGTAAAGGAAGAGGAGGTGGAAGAGAATGACAGAAGGAGAGCATTAATAAATATTTTTGGGTTGAAGAAAGTTAATTGGTCTTTTAGTGTGGCTTTCGTGATTTTTTTCTTTCTTCTCTCTCACAGTGTTATTTTTCTTTCAGAATATCAAAAAACTGAATCATTTTCTTTCATTTCCAGATTCAGCTTGGCAGTTGCCTTGGAAGTACTAATTATGTTTTCCTTACATAAGAGAGGAGAGACCTATTATTGTTGAAGGTTCATTTTTTTAAAACTATGCTTTAAAACTCAAAACAGTTAAGAATTATGTCACAGCTATTTTTGAAAGCATTATATCTACAATGAACAACAAGAAAATGGTAATGGAAAAATAGTGTGGTGCTTGGAAAATCCTGTGACAGAATTATATGGACTGAGTTGTGGTTTTTTTTGAAGAATTTGAAAATAAAGCTAAAGACTTAAACAGAACTTCAAGAAATCAGCACACAACATCTAGCATGATTTTACAATATTGGCAGTTAAAGAAACACCGGAAGAGTTGTCTACAGCTCAACTCCTGCAGGATAGTGAGACAGGTCAAACCAATCACTATTAAAAATAGTCATTACTTGAGAATGAAACTGTCCTCTTCATTTTTCAGTTTAACACTGTGTAGGAGATGGTTGTCACACTTTATTTTATTCCTAAGTCAACATTTCAAGTGATAAAGTCTATATTCTAAAGATATGTTATTCAGGTCTCATAACCTAATAACTACTTTTCTAGTTCAGAAGATACATCGTAAGAACCACCTTTTACATTAAAAGCAAACGAGCAAACAAAACAAGCTTCACAATGTCACAAGAGTGAAAATGGTAGTGGCTTTCGGTGGTAAAGGAGTCCAAACCTGTTAGTCACAACTTTGATTGAAATAATTCATTGTGCATTTTTGCCCATCCAGTTGGACCAGATATTTTCTCATGACAGAGTTCCTTTTTGAATAGTGGTAATTGCCTGGAGTACGGTAGGTGGGTAATATATACTTGTTAAATAAAAGAGTTAATGAATGACTGCATGATAAATAAAGGAAGAAAGGAAAGCACTGACTGACAAATTCAAGGAAACTAATGCAAATGCCATACACAGGAAGCAGTGTTGCTTGGTGGTGATGAGCATGGAGGCAAGCCAGATTGCCTCAGTTTGAAATCCTGTTCTGTCCATTATTCACTATGTGACCACGGGCAAGTTAGTGAACTTCTCTACCCTCAGTTTCCTTTTGCTTATATAACTTGTGCTGTTGTGAGAAATACATGTTACATCACAAAAAAGCACTTTAAAAAGTACATGGAACATAGTAAGTGCTAAATAAAGGTAAGCTACCAAGCTTATCATAAAGATCTTATCTAGATATTTCAATATGAATATCGTTGACAATTATAAAATTAGACCACTGGATTAAATGCAACCTTCGTGGAATTCAGGAAGTGGGCACAAGGAGTATAAAACTTTTGGGTTCAGTCCTAAAACTTGCTTATGTCATAGAAATTACTTTTCTATTGAGATTGTATAGGTTGATCTTCCCTAAACACTTCTCACAAAAGTGTTGGAGATAATGGTTCCTTGCAGACATAGATTAGAGGTCCTGTTTTACAAAAGCAGACATAAAACTAGATATGCTTTCTTTACCTGAGTGCTTTTTACTATTAATTTTCAATATTTAATTATTATCCTGTAAAACTGGTTCACAACAGTAAATGGAGATGAAGCAGTTTTATTAGTGCAGTCCCAAATGCTTTACTGCTTGCAATTGCCTTAATTTTGCTTTAGCTTATTATATAACTCCATGGCTCAGAAAGGGTTGCTGTGGCCAGTATCAGTCATTGCCCAGGACTCCTGAAACATGTGAGAAGCTGACAAATAACATAACTGGAATCCTGTCTGAGGGGAGGGGAGGAAGGAATGCATTTCCACATGTGACAGAATTCAGATTTTCAATTCTTGGAAGTCGGGGACTGTGACCACACTGGTTGAACAAAGCACCATGGACATGCACATAACAGTAAACCAGAGTATTCTTCATTTTATTATGCAAAGCTCACCTCTCTAGCAGTCTGGAAATTGCAGTTTCTTTCATTAATAGGAGATGAATTACATTGGAAGAAAACCATGTAATCTTTATGCTACGTGTATCTAAGAAAACTGGTGAAATTTAGATTTCTGTTTTGAAAATATGTCTAGCAGTCTGGAAATTGCAGTTTCTTTCATTAATAGGAGATGAATTACATTGGAAGAAAAACATGTAATCTTTATGCTACGTGTATCTAAGAAAACTGGTGAAATTTAGATTTCTGTTTTGAAAATATCAACAAAAGAGATAAAATTGTGCCTGTACTTTTGAGCTCTCTTATCTCGAACTCTTCTCTCCTTTCTTCTCTATTTCTGCCCATGGCCACTACTATGGACTGAATTGTGTCCTCTTACAAATTCATATGTTGAAGCATTAACTCCCAATGTGACTATATTTGGAGATAGGGTCTTTAGGAGGTAATTAAGGTTAAATGAGTCCAAGTCCAACAGGACTGGGCCTTATAAGAAAAGGTGGTGGCCTTACATGAAAAGGTGGTGGCCTTACATGAAAAGGTGGTGGCCTTACATGAAAAGGTGGTGGCCTTAAAAGAGGAAGAGAGATCTCTTTAAACATGAACACATAGGAAAGGCTGTGTGAGGACACAGTGAGAAGATCGTAAGAAAAGGTGGTGGCCTTACATGAAAAGGTGGTGGCCTTAAAAGAGGAAGAGAGATCTCTCTAAACATGAACACATAGGAAAGGCTGTGTGAGGACACAGTGAGAAGATCGTTATCTGCAAGCCAGGAAGAACACCCTCACCAGAAACCTAATGAGTTCAAACCTTGGACCTCCAGAACTGTGAGAAAATACATTTCTGTTGTTTAAGCCACCTAGTCTATGGTATTTTGTTATGGCAAACTGCGCAGACTCAGCCACACACTGGAAAACAAGAGCTTTTTAAATATATGTAAACACAGTTTTGCTGAAATCACACTCACCATTAGTAGTCTGTCTCCTACTTGCAACCTTCCATCTTTTTGTGCAGCTCCTCCATCTATAATTTTAGTTACATAAATACTGTTGTCTCCAGGAATGTGTTGGTTCCCCACACCTCCTGCAATACTGAAGCCTAAACCTATGAGAAAGGAACAGAAAATGGAAAGGCTTTGTTTGTTTGTTTTGTTTTGTTTTTTTAAGAAAATGCAATTAGGCACATTTCAACAGTTTTTCTAAAAAAATGGATCCTCAATTTATTATAACAGCAATCAATAATATTAAGGATTCTATTTCAATTGATTTTGTTCTTTAAATATTTGAAGGCTTGATGATTATTGCTAACAAGGCAAAGATCTTGAAGTCAATCCCATGTGAACATTAGTTTTGTTTTGTTTCAAGACTGTATACCTAACTGCTGTTCCCTAGGTAGTTAGTTCATAACGGTTAGCTGGCCAGAATAGGGATCAGGCAAAGGGTGTGCAGGAATCCTAGGCGAGCCTGGAAAAACACAAGTGCAGTTCTGCTCAGGTTGGCCATGCATTTTCGTTGTTGTTACTCTAGAATAGAGAACAGAAGTATTGCCAATCACTGGGGCAGAGAACTGGATACTATTGACATTTCAGGATGAAAAACAGAGCTGTTAGAAAATTGCACAAATTCTGAGACAAAAGCCATGAGGACATAAATGGATATTTATGTGATAATTTCAGAGAGAGAAGAAAAGGAAAAGGAGCTAGAGGCTTGCCTTTCATGTGTTATTCTCTGGCCACCTTGTCATAAAAATATTCTCCTAGCAGTTACTGTTATTAACTGATAGTAAGCCTAGTCACACAAAATAGCGAATCATCCCTTTACATAGTCTAAAGAATAAAGGAATAGATTATATAATTTTACTTTATTATTTTTATAACAAATGGAAGAATATCAAATCATTTTAAACATAGCAATTTTCTATTTTGAGAGATGAATCTTACTGTATTATGGCTTACAAAACTTTTATTTATATTAAACCATGGAATGATAACAAGTGTTTTAAAAAGTCATTATGATGTCATTTTAAAGGAATGATTGTTAGAACCTTTAAAGGTAGAATAACTAAAAAAATCCCTTTCAGAATGTGATTGAATACACATTTAGTATAATCCTTGTAGCATATATTTCATTGATTTTAAAAATCATAATCATAAATACAGGCAAATTGCTCAAAAGACAGATAATAATCAACCCTCGTTACTAAACATAATTTCTGTAACTTCCTTGGCTTAAGAGATTATTTTAAAAACCACACACCTAGTCAAATGATAAAGTGATCATAAAAACTTTTAGCAATAATGAAATACAATCTAAAAATATTGACTCCATTTTATTTTATTTTTATTGAGTAAACATTGGGTAGGGGTATGTGCTCTTAATATAGCAAAAATGATTAGTTAATTGAAAAATGATGGCATGGTAAGTTATAAAGTAACACCTATGGAATTATATTTGAAATGCAATGATTGTTTTGTTAAATTATCTATCATAGTGGTTAAATAAATGGAAAATGGATGTAAGTTGATAGGGCCATTAAAATAAGTGTTATCTAATTTTCTACTTATGTGAATAATTATTCTTTAGTAATGCTTTGCCACCTCATAGAACCATAAATGTATTTGCCCCCAATGTTAAAAATTTGTTTAGTAAGCAAAAGATAACCAAAGAGTAAATAAAATGCCCATAAATTGGCTTTTCCCATGAAATTTAAAATACATATCAGCTTGTGTTTTCCAATACTGTTACTTTATTATATATCAGTATAGGGGAGTTTAAAAAATATATTTATAAAAGTTTTATAGTCACATGCTAGGATCAATATACTGCATTTATAATAGTACAGAGGACATTCCAAACTCTGGAAAGAAAATGTGAAAAACAAATCCAGGGACTCTGATTTACATGCCCTATGCCAGCCGTAAATGCCATAGACAGTCTTAGTTACAGAAGAGACATAGAAACAAATCATCACTGTAAAGAAGGTTAAGTCCAACAAAATACAGTCCAGGGACTCTGATTTACATGCCCTATGCCAGCCGTAAATGCCATAGACAGTCTTAGTTACCAAAGAGACATAGAAACAAATCATCACTGTAAAGAAGGTTAAGTCCAACAAAATACAATAAGTATGTGGTTAACATTTGAAATTGAAGATTATACCAAAACAATGAAATACTGTTGATATAAATATATCGGGCAAAGCGCCACCGCGCTCCCAAGCAGCGCACTGTAGCAGTGCGCCACCGGGCCGGCCCATGACTGGCTTCTTAGAAGAGCAGGAAAAGAATTAACAAAGGCCTTAATGTTTGGTCTGAGTCTTGAAGGTTAACTTAGAATTGATAAAAAAAGAATACACATTTGAAACCAACATATCCTCTGGATTCTAGACTGACTAAATCGTCAGATGCTTTGACTTAGGTCACAGCGTGCTGATAAAATCCCAGCTCAACTGAGCTGGAAATTGAGACAAGAATGCCTAATAAACAATCAAAACATGTATTTATGATGTGATAAGCCAGGATGGTCCCTAACAGGATAAATGCAAGAGTATTATAAAGACTTGAGTAAGAAACACTGAAAATGGCAAAAACAAAACAAAACAAAAACAAAGAAATCGATTTAGGGGAAGTGGTAGTTTTGCAAAAAATAAAGAATTGGTCACTTTTTTTTTTTTACTGGTTATGAATATTCATGGGACACAAAGCTGATTGTCACTACTCATGCCCAAGATGTGATGGCCAGATCCATACTGGCAGCATGCCCATTACCACAAATTGTGATTATACCCCATGTCCCCCCCATCCGATTATCCCTGACTTCCCTCTCCATTCCCCTTTCCCCACTCCACTTTGTATCCCTAGGTATGTTCTCTCCCTCTACAAGTCCAATGTACCACTGTGGTCTTTCTTTCCTTCCTTCTTTCTCTCTTAGCTCCCACTTATGAGTGAGTACATGTGGTATTTATCCCTCTGTGCTTTGCTTATTTCACTCAACATAAGTTTCTCCAAGCTTACCCATGTTGTTGCAAATGGGAGAATTTCATCCTTTTTTATGGCAGAGTAGTATTCCACGGTGTATATATACCACAGTTTCCTTATCCAGTCATCCATCAATGGACATTTATGTTGCTTCCATATCTTGGCTATTATAAAGAGTTGCGATGAACATGGGAGTGCAGGTATCCCTTCAAAATGATGATTTCCACTCCTCTGGGTATATACCCAGAAGTGGGATTTCTGGATCATATGGAAGATCTGTCTGCAGTTGTTTGAGAAAACTCCATACTGTTTTCCATAGTGGTTGCACTAATTTACAGTCCCACCAAACAGTGCAAGAGTGTTCCCTTCTCTCCACATCCTCGCCAGCATTTATTATTCACCGTCTTTTTGATTACAGCCAGTCTAACTGGGGTGGTCACCATTTTGAAAAGAAGTGTCTATGATAAAGAAATAGCTCTGCACCATCAGGTAATGACAGACTAGTCAACTGTAAAATCAATTCAGCGAAAAGAGTTGGCAGGTCTCATCCTAAAACACTACCTGTGTACTACCTACTGTGGAATGTTTGGCTATCTTACATGTGTGCTGGTAATAAACAAAGCCAACACAGAAAAATATAGATAATGAAATTACAAAGGGAGTAAAATCAGTTGATATTTCAGCACTTTAACAAAGGAAAAAGGCATGTCAAATTTAAACATCTAATTCCCCAAGTAATTAAAAATGACCTGTTTGACAAATGGGATGTGCACACAGAATTTCAGGATTACATCTATTGTATAAACCTGGGTTCATCTTTTCATATTTCTTGCATTTCCCCAAATTGTAATTCTTCATGTTAACATAGGAGATGCAGGGATAGGTGAAGAAATGCCCAAACCTTGTTAAAGCCTTTAATCGAAACATTTTCCACTTAAAATCTTTTCCTTGTCCTGTAAAAAGAGAACACTATGAACGGATCACAGTTCACCCTTTTCCTTGTTGCCTGCCTACGCTGAGGAGGAGGTGTCAGTGCGAGGTGGGGGCCTGAAGCAGAAGTCTTGGCAGCATAGATTGATACTGTGCTTGAGAAGCTCAGAATAAAAACTCAAATGCTTTAAAAAGTCATATGATTACAGTGTACCCATACATTTTTTTGTGGGAGTAAAGAACTGAGCTTCACAATGTGTTATTACCATTCAATGACTTGGTTCAACTTCTTATGCTACTTTACTAGGAGGACACTCTGGGGCTTCTCCAAAAAATTGAGTATTATTAATCAGAATGGATCTTTCAAGAGTGTATTCAGGATCTGCTAGGTAAGGTGTTTGCTGCTTTACAGAAAGCAATAGCGGTATTCTGCACATTCGGTCTGCATGTTTTTATTAAAGGAAACACAGAATCTGTCCTGAACCCTGACTGGCCTTGTCTTAGAACACATCCACCCATGCAGGTAATGTATCTTCTAAATGTGCATACATTTCAGTTAAAAAATTAAAAATCTCTTCCCTGTGGGTCTGATTTACACTGATAACAGACTATTTGACATCTCTTCCCCTTTAGAAAGAAAACTTTGCTTAAAAAAAATACCCCCAAAATGCACCTTTCATTTTAATTTGAGAAACTAATTAATTTCATAGGGCACTGCAGATATGTTTAATTAAAAGCCAAAGTTGTTATTTTCTTACTCTCTGGATTCTCCCTGGGTTCGAAAAACAAAGTTTGGGATTGAAGAAGTGGTTTTGTTTAAAATTCCTAAGGCACTGTCTAAGCATCCTTAATCCTGCTTAAAGAATCTCTCACAGATCAATTAACTTATCACAGCCAATGCTCCAAAAATTCCTAAGGCACTGTCTAAGCATCCTTAATCCTGCTTAAAGAATCTCTCACAGATCAAACAATTAACTTATCACAGCCAATGCTCCATTTTTTCCTACTACTGTGTATCTCTTAATACCCATTTATACCTTTAGCACATCACTTTAATGCCTATCTTATTGGGAAAAGTCCTCATTTCTATACTTACTCTTTCTGCTTTCCCTTTACTCAAAGGAATAAGCAATGTTCTTCTTTTCTAGTCCTAAATATTCTCCTTTATTCTGGACCTTTACTTATTATTCCCTT